AGATGCTGAGGATGAAGCGCTTATGAAAGATTAAGTACAGGGTGAAAAGGGAGCTCTGGGGTCTTAGTGACAAAGGAGCTGCACTGCCAGTCCAAAGGCATATGGTTCGAATCCACCAGCTGCTCCTTGGGAGAAAAATGCATAATCTCCTATCAGTCAATATACAGTCTCTGAAAACCGGCTGAAGGGTCAGCTATGACTCGTTTCCTACTTCATGGCACAGATCAACAACATCGGGGTGAGCTATGGAGAAGACCAGAGATGGAAAGAACCAATACCATGAATTATGTTTCCTTCCTCTCATCTCATAAAACTTGTAAGAAGTAACTGATACTAGGTCTAAACAGTCACCAGACCCTCAGAGCTTCTGTTTCTAGCAATATGTAGATAAAACTGCTTAAATAAACACATAAATGATGAGTAAAACATTAAAGAACATAATTAAAATAACACGGCCAAGCTGGCACAAAGTCAGGAAGTTGCAGAGCCACAAAGCAAAGTAAATCAGGAATAAGGAGAGGCAAAGGGTGCCAGGACCAGCTCTGAATTTCTAATGAGCCTTGTAAAGTGTGAACACGTGCTCCGAGCTTTGAAGGCTGTCAGAGTGCAGGGAATCAAGCTGAAGGCCACTCAAACTAGAGACTATAATTAGAGAAAATCAAGACCTCAAAGACAGAGCCAGAAAAACACGAAAAATGATCCAACTTTGATAGACAATCACAAAATTAGTCTGTCTCAATTTTTTAAGATGTTTAATTACAAGCTGGTTCCTAAAGAAGAAATCCTGGAAACATACTGAGTTAAGTGCTGGGATGCTAACCAAAAGGTGAGTGATTTGGACTACTAGCCATTCACGGGATAAAAAGGCGAAAGTCGGCTCCTATTAAAATTTACAGCCTTGGGAGGAAATGATAATTAATGTCATAAAATAACGTGTATAATGGTTGAATGAGGAAGTAATTTGTTCTGTAAACTTACATTCATATCACAATAAAAAACCTAAAACAAAGAAACAAAAACTTCATACAGTCTTAGGAACCTAATGGAGACGGTATAGGCTGAGCTTGTGTTTTTTCTTTTTAATTGACATTTTAATGAAAGTTTATATAGAACTTGGATTTCCATTCATTCATTGTTGCACATTTCTCTCCCTGCTCCCCCTCCCCTCCAATTCACTTTTTTCTTTGGAAAATAAATTCTTTCATTGTTACACAGTCCCCTCCCCGCTCAGTCCACTTCACTATGCAGCTCTTATTCTGGACTCTTGTCATGCCAATACCTAATCATATATTCCTTTTATACAGTTCTCTCCCTCCTCTGTTTCAATGCCATGTA